TTTCAAATTGAGAGACCGGGAATTTGCTTATTTTGGTTAAAACATTTTTTCTGAGAAGCATGGTTATTTTTTTATCGTCTTGTATTTATGTATTTTCATAAAATTACACTAGTCGACAAGAAATGCGACCACCGGCATTTGACCATCATTTCTTATGTAAATTTTTCGCTGAATTCGAATATGAACTCAAAATACAAATAGCAAACAAGTTTTTGAGTTATGAGTAAAATTTTTTTGAGATCAGAAAGAAAATGCACTCACTTAATTGCAATTTTTTTAATATACATAGTTGGCCATTATCGAAATTTCTTTTTACATTAAAGAAGCTTACTAAATTTTCTATCATCAATGTCAACAAAATTTTCTAACCAGTAGTTTAGTAGCTATTCATTGATTTATCGACTATTTTGGAAAAATGTTAATTAATATAAAATGTCGCAGGTCGATTTTTTTTTATTTCTGTAAACTTGTGTTATTAAGGATATACAAACATATGTATGTATATTTTTAGGGTTTAACTTTGTGAGTGAAGGGTGTCATTCTGAATACAATTTGTATTTTTTTTTTTTAAATAGTGGTTTACTATTGCTGCTCAGCGAGGAGTTATAGAATATTTCAATATCATAATTGTTGCACATAAAAATTATTATGAAAACTAAAATAAAATAAAATGTAATTTAAAATATTTTAATAGGAAAACACAAACAATTAGTGATGGCAAGATTAATCAAATAAATTAATCGTATCGAAATCCCTGTTTTTATTAAACAAACCATTAAGGGCTTACACCACACTGACAAAATTTGTTAAAAAATAAATTTGTTTTTGCCGAAGGTATGAAATTAAAAAAGGAAATGTATTTCACATATATAAGAATAATTCCCCAACAAAAATTTTTAAAATGATAAAATGTCGGGGATAAGAGTCATCTATGAGACCCCACCTTTCAAGATGGTGTACAAGATTTCTCAATTGGGGATCGTCTAAAAACTACAAAAAATATTTTTCTTATTTAAGGAAAATAAGCTATGGCGCTACGTAGCGAAATTTTTTTTTCTGCAAAAATAGTCGTTGTTGAAGAAAACGAAATTAATTTTCATGAAAATGTTCAATTAATTAAATTCATAACTTACGCAAGTATTCATCAAATCTTGCTCTCTCGTGTCGTTACGGTCACGAATTCACTCTCTCTTGGAAATTTTTGGACTACTCAACACAGTTCTAGTAAAACCTTGCGAGTAAAAATTCATAAATTTTTTTTTATACATACATATGTATTAATGGACTTATTGTAAACTTGTGTGACGTTGTAAAAGACGAAGGAGGAATGATGGTACATATCCTTAAAACGAAGTGAGTTTCTATTTGAAACGTAGCATTTTGAGATTTGCACTGGAACTTTGTTGAGACATGGTAATGAAAGAAATGAAGGCAGTATATTCAATATTTTACCTCCTTTTCCACAAATATTCACACTTTATTGGTACACGTAACATCTGTTTTCTATACCTTGGGTAACAGCTTAGGAAATCCCAGCCGGATAAGCAGCCAAAAAGCTTTAAATATTACTTTTTTAGAAATTCCTTTAAATTAAAAGTAGTAGGCGAATTCTTTTGTGTATTATAATAAACCAAAAGAATTTGTAAACAAATTACTTATTTTAAAATTAGAAACAAAAATAATCGAAAATGCCGATTGATCGATTAATGCCTTGTAATTTTTATATTTGCCTTAAAATTAATCATTTTATATATTCAACGAGTAGTAAATTTTAATTGCCATCCCTAATTACAATCTTTTGAAATGAAAAAATCAATAATACCATGCTATGTACAAACATTCGTTTTATTTGAGTATTTACGGTAGTTTTTTATGGTATTATATTTATCTTCGGATGCTATTTATCCGTCTCAAATATGGCGTATCTATTCATTTAAGGCATAAAACCAGGGTAAAAGCGCATTAAACTTTTAGGTTGGAGAATAAGCTGGAATTGATTACTTAATGTTAATGTACTCTCGTCCACTTTTCAACGTTGTACATATGTATCTCAAGTTGAGATTCTCAACCATTAAGTTGAGAACCATAGCATTCTCCAAAATTATTTTAATGGAAAAAAAATTCTTTACAACTTGAAAAAAAAGCTAATTCTCAACTTTCTGTTCATTCTTGAGTAAAAGCTGAATTATTAAATTTTCAATTTTTATTCGTCCAAGAACTGTCAATCAAACGAAAATGTGTCCTAAATCATCAAAAAGTTGTAAATTATGTACACACAATCAAAGCGGATAAATAGTCGCTCAAACATTTTTTTTAACTAAAACTAAACTATTTTTGCACACTGAGCAGCGATAGTTGAGTACTAAAACTTTTTCAAAGCATTTTTCACAAAATTATGATGCATGTATTTTTGTATGTATTTTCCCTCAAGCGAGTCAAGAGTCATTCGTGAATTGAGCCCGGCTGAATATACCTCTAAATATAATGCAGAACTTTTTCAAAAAAGTATCAGTTCTTGATGATAATTTTCTATAATCTATAGAGCCCCCTCCATGGATTTAGAGTGTTTATTAAACGAATATTTGCGAAAAATTTTAGTGTTCCCGGTTTGTTCAGGTAATAATTCAGCATACAGTGTCCGGTACTGATTCGTAAGTTCCTCTTGGATAAGCCTATATCTATATATTTCTAAAAGCGTTTTAGGTCATATATGTATTCCTTAAAGTGCTTTGAAATGTTCTAGATCCCAGTAGCGATTTCCTTGAGTCGCTTCCCCTGCCCTTTCCTACGCCACCTAAGGGCTCTGGGCCGATGATAAGGGTTGATGCTAATTTCTTTATCGGCAAGTTTCGAGGTCACATAATTACGGCCACTACTTCTTTTCTAATTTTTACCACTTACTTTTCTTTATTTATTTTTAATTTATTTCTATACAAAAAAAAAAAAAATAGTTTTTACCATAACGAAAACTATGTAACTAAAAGATTAAAAGTTTGTACAAAATATATACAAATTCGCCGAATTTCAGAAAAAATTCATTTTTTAACTTTTTAATCAGAATTAAAAAAAATTCAATTTTAGTATAACAAAAAGCAAATCCCAAATGGCTCAGAAGTCGCATTGGTTTTTGAGTCATTTTTTGCTGGCAGTGTTACGCATTTTTTCATAGAATGAGAGAAAATGAGCAACACCGTTAGGAAAAATTATAAAAAAAAATTTTAAATAGGCGATTTTTGAAAAATCTTCTACAAAGTTCAAAACTTTGTAAAAAAATAAATTACAAATAAATAAGTGGTCACAATTTGCAAAGAAGTAGTGTCCTTCATTATGTATGTGCACATACAGTGGGGAGCACTGATGAGTACATGGCGATTTGTGTAAAATATTTGCAAGGTTTTTAAAGCTACAATTTTTTTGTTACTTTTTCATAAAAATATAGTTCATGATTTAACCAAAACCATATAAATAAAACATTAAAACTTGTACAGAACTTAGAAAAATTTAAAAAATTTGAGCTTTTTAACTAGATTTTTTAGAATTTTTTCGAGCATACAGTTTTGTAAATTAAATAATTTTAGAATAAGAGAGTGCAAGTTTTAAGCGGCTGAAAAATCGCGCTGATTTTTGATATTTTTTTTTGCTAACGGCTTTTGCGGGTTATTTCATATAACAAGTGCAATTTATAAAAACTGGCGTTGAAGTTTTTTTAATTTGCTATGCAAGTGGTCTTGAGCGTTTTCTTCCATGCTTGTGTGAAAAAGAGTGCAAAAAGCCGTCACCAAAAACAATTTTTTTTGCAGCCGATTAAAACATGCGATTTTACAGCAGCCTAAAACTTGCCCTTTATTACACCAAAACTATAAAATTTACAAAATTGCAAATGTACTCAAAAAATTCCAGAAAATCAAATTTAAAAAGTTTAATTTATGTACATATATGGTTTTTGTTAAAGCATAAACCATAGTTTTATGAAAAAACAAGAAAAAATGGCTAACTTTAAAAACCTTGCAAATATTTAACAAAAATCAATGAAAAAGTCGCTTTTTAGGTGTACTTTCAACATAGCCCAGTCCAAAGTCTATCAATTCAGCAGCATTTTCTTAAACCTTTGCGTAAAATATCTAAAATTTTCGTTTCGATTCGCTTGGTGGCTAACCATTTTTTTTGGTGTTTGGGGCATCCTACTGTATACATACAATGTGCCGTATGCAGATGAATAGCTTAAATACCTTTTGTATAGCATTTTTTTATTTACTTTATGTTTACTTTCACATACATACATACATAAATGGTAACAAAATATAACTGTATGTGTTTTTAACAAAAGAAAAAGAACGCATTAACGCGATTATTGAACATAATTTATATTTAAAAACTTGTAATATCTTTTAAATTGTTAATTTTTTTAATTACAATTTACTGTTTTTTTTTTATTTTGTTTGTTTTTTCTCCTCTTTTTATCTCACATTGTGATTTGCAACTGCAACTAAGCTACGCCATTTTTAACACCAACGTGAAGCTGTCTGTCTGTCCCTTTACTAATTCTATTTAGTATATATCAGTAAGGATTTTCAGTATTCTTTCATATATATTTTTTCCTCTTAGATTTTTTTGAATATGTATGTATGTATTACTATTAAGGAAACAAAATCGTATTGCAATCTTAAAGGCGTGACTACAAACAGTTTCATCTTAATATTTATTGTTTTTGAATTTCTTGTTACATTCTACATTTCCTTTGCTTTTGCTAAATTGTTGCAGATGCATTTTTAATGAATTAATGTCAATTATAAATAAATTATATTATACACGTGTGGTTATTATTTATATATGTATATGTATAAACGCAAATAAAAATATGAAACGCAGTATATGTTCTTATATAAAATAATAAATTTGCAAATGTAAATACATACACACATATATACATATATGTATTTATTGCATGTATGTGTGTAAATGTCATTGCGGGCGAGTAATGAGGAGCATTGCTTTTTTTCATAATTTCTTTTTGTTATGCATATGTATGTATTTTGAATTCATCTAATCGATTCAGTACAATCAATAGTGACGTTGCGTGTCCATAGCTGAAAGTATTCGGTAAATTTAGGTTTGTGATGGTTTGGTGAATTGGGCCGGGGCTTAAACTTGAGTTTGGGAACTTGGGTGTTAGTAACTGTGATAGCTGGTGCGGCTAGTTAGTGGTTAAGATGGTAGCGTGCTGTTTGTGGTTATAAGCTTTGTGGTAGGGACACTACTAAGTTCGTTGACGATAGCTACTAGGGTGTGGGGAGATAGATGTTGGTGGTGGTGTAACATTTCGCTCGCTTTCTACTTTAAATTCCGAGACTGCAATAAAAGAAAAAAACAAAATAAGAAACAAGAAAATGCATTAAATTTCAATTGGCAAAAATTAGTGTTTCAGAAATTTTTTTTTAGTTTTTACTATTTACTAAATATCTACATATGTACATACACTAGCATATCTATGTACGTTAGGGTGTTCATTAAAATGTCAACGTCATGGAGCACCTCTTTATTTTATTCTACATAAAAAGTTAAGGGTCGCTATTAAAATTTGAAAAATATTGACTGACCAGCTAAAATGAATTTATGTATATGAATAAGTTAAATAGTATGTTAAATTTACCAGAATTCAAGTCAAAAATTGGTCGAATTTTCGTGATTTAAAAAAATTAAATTTTTTCAAAACTTGCAAATTTTCGTGGTTATCTTTATTTTGTACGTAGACCCACCCGGTCCTTCATACAAAATTTAGATGTTGATATTTTAAAGACCACCCGGAATATTTAATGTAAGCTCAACGGTGGCGAATCTACAATATTCAGGGAGAGTTTACAGTATCAGTTTGGGGTTAGAGAATGACGTATCTACTCTACCAGTAGAAAAATAATCGGTAGAGAAGAGTTACAGAAACGAGCAACAGCACGGATCGAGGTGTCGCACTTTTAATATTCACGCCATGAAATCTACGAAAACTTTATAAATGAATTCGATTAGCTGCGAAACTAGCATATTACCTTTTATCTATACTAGGGTGTTCGATGATTCGCCTTTTTCCAAACCCGGTTTTCGAGTAATCGAAAAATGTTACTTTGAAAAAAAAACGGTTTTATTTTACATAGTTTAGAATTATTACATAGTTAGTTTTCATATGTGAAAATTACAAAACAAGTTAAAGTTTTTTTTTTAAATCAAAAGTAAAAGAAAAAAAATCAGTGAAAAATTCACGTTTCGTCTTATTATATCTTCTTTTCTATACTTTATTGCTTTGTCCTGCCTTTTTTCGGATTTGAGTAGTGCTTTTGCCGCCGTTGCCGCGTGCTTAGATGTGCCTACTACTACTCGGGGGGTCCATGGTTCAACTTCTGGTCCCAGCAGCAAAAAAAAAAAGTGTTTTTTAAATAACAGTCGCCCCTCGTCAGACAATGGCAAACCTCCAGCTGAACTTCTGCCATAAAAAAGCTTCTTCGGAGGTAGGTGTAGGTCTACATTTATTTTCCTTAAATTGAAAAACCATGAAAACTTCGAAAACTTAAAACCTTTATCTAATCTGGTTTATTCGATATTCGAAAAATCAAGATTTCAAAAACCCGCCTATAGGTATCAAAAAAACGGTGGAAACCGGTTTGGAAAAACCGAGTCGAATCGCCCTAATTTATACGTTTATAACAGTCAAGATTCTCAGCCTCATTGCGAGAGTCGTGCCGAATGCAAGTCGTTTTTCGAGAGTCGAATCGTATCGAAAATTTAGCGTCATTGCCTAAAATTTCCACTCGACTAGTGTATTAAAACGGAAGAACTTGGCAGCACTGCATAGTTTTCGACAATTTTCGTCGTTTACTTATTTCAGCACGACAGTAGACAATGCTAATGTTGTCGAGTCGTACAATTCAGCCTAATTTACGACTTACGCAATGAGGCTGTCTGTGATCGCATTTTTATGGATTATGCGATAGCCCTGAATGTTGGCAGAAGAAAATATGTATGTATATATGATGTATGTAAATAGGCATTTTTAACCCCCAGTTAATATTGTAAACTCTCTTTTATTTTAAAAAGTCAAATCTTTCATTAAAAAAGAGGCACTCAGAGCTAAATGCATTAAGGAGAGGTCCAGTTGAGTTGAGGCTCAAATACATTATCAGATATATTTTATGAGAAATAGCAGTACTAACATTTATGAGTTCGATATTTATACTTCACTTCACTTTGAAAGGTGGTGTGCAGAGATACTTCATTGCCAGTGTAAACAAATTTGGAAATTCTTTGCGACTTTGCTTCCACCAACTTAAAGGATCTTCGAATCTGGGTATAAGGGGTAGCTGTAAATATTTCTCCACTTCAAAATCGCTGCCTTTTTACTTGTACGGCCGCTGCCTTGTCTACCCAACTTCTGTCTTTTTACATAACTACAAAAACTGATACAGCATCAGAGCCGTGACTGATTTATATTTTCGAATTAGTTTATCATCAACCCAGTATTTAGCTTTATTGCTATCAGAAAAATAAACTAGTTTTGAAATGTGGGTCACAAAATATTGCAACAATGAAGCATTAAGTGACGTTGCGGGAAGCGGAACGATAAAAACTCTATTCTCATAAGAAGCCCCATCACCGATTCAAAGGCAAATTTTCTTTGTTTCGAACTTGCTTCCCCCAAAGGAATAAAAACCTACATCAATTAAGTATTTTTTCGGCACAAAGGGCAATCAATCAAATTTTTCGATATATTTTGATAGTCGTTTTTCCCAGCTATTTTCTGTTAATTTCCTCTTCATTAATGGGATTCGTGCCTTCAGGTAATTAAGTGAGATCTTTTTTTCCTATCTGTAAATGCATTTAAAGTAACAAAGTTAATATTTTTCTATTGAGCAGTGCTATGTTTCAAGTATGTATGCAATAAAATTTGAGCATTTAAATATTTCCTAGCCAAGGAGAAATGCATAAAAAATCATTTATATGCATACATACATACATGTTTGTAATAAGTAGATTCAACTCAATTTCTATAGCCGAAATCTTTTTTTTCGTTATTCTTTTCTTTCGCTTAGAATTTTTAAAGGTTGTGCAAATTGCATAAAAATGGTATATTTTATGGGTGTCCCCTCAAAATGTAATAATAATACCTCAACTACCATGAAAACTCTAAAACATTTGCTGTACTGACATTCATTAAAGATTTTTCTATGTATAAATGAAAAGAATATTAAAAATGGCGGCCGCTGTGGTGGAGTGGTTAGCAGTGCACGCTACCACTCCGCCGGGCCTGGATTCAAGCCAGGGGTCAAAGCAACACCGCAAAAAATATAGAAAAAAGGTTTTTTGATAACAGCGGTCGCCCCTCGGCAGGCATTGGCAAACCTCCGATCGTGTGTAAGCGCCAATCCATTATTATTATTATACTAAAAATGTACTTTACTTGTTTCATATTGATCACTATATCTCACTACATATTTATGGATATAGGAGTTCTTATTATGCATTTGCCTACTGGACATATCCTTTATCAGTATCAAGCTGTAATCTAGCGGTAGAATATAAAAAGCAGCGGGTATAGTAAACGCTAACACACGCACACACTTAAACAAAAGCAGTATTACACGCACACTATCGCACAATTAAATGTTCCACAATATAAAGTACACTATACAAATATTAAATGTATGTACGTATGTATGTATATACACTATAAAATAATTTATATTCTATGCGAACTGTCTTCAAATGATTCTTACTTCTTTAATGTTGTCTCAAAATGAACATTTTAAATAATTTTCAATTGTATATACAAATTTTATTCAAGATGCACTTAAACAGCAGCTTCAGCACACTTGAGCAAAAAAGAGATTTATTTTCTACTTTTTAGTTTTGCAACAACTTCAGAGCGTGGAAAATGAATATACACCCAAGCTTAAAATTTGCTTAATTTCATATTAGCTTAAAGAACACACTTATGTTAAATATTTCGCTCCTTTTCGAAATACATGCTTGTTGTCTAAGAAGCGTACATACATATTTATATAGCTGTATGGTCGAGTATTAGAAACTCTTATATATTTTTCTTTTTCAAACCCTCTTAGTAATGAACATGTTATTTTATTATTTTACTTATTAATTCGTTATAGAAAATAATGTTATATTGTGGCTTCTTTTATAAATTTTAGGTTAGATAAACTTGTATGCCACAATTTGGGCGTTCGTCTGGGTTTAATTGTGCGTTCTATGTTCTCTACAGTTAATCGCGATAAATTCTTTATAAATTCTCTTATTTTGTTATATTACTTGTGCATCAACCCAATATTTAGAGGATGCGGCGAAAGAACCGAAGTGTCGTGACCACTACATTTTAGAAGAGATTGAAGTCGACTATATCAAAATGGGCGATTTTTCAAAAGCTTCATTAAAGAGTATCTTCGCATAGTTTGCTAATGCTACATCTTTTTTTTGCATTTCTGTGCATATCTTATTGAGAGTGATGCATTTCAGAATTCTGTACAATAATTACATATTTTTCATGCGACTAAAAAAATTTCTGCCTTGTGTCCATCAAATACAGAGACTATTTTTCTACAGGGAATTAAGTGATTGCAAGTGGTACGTCAAAAAGGAAACATATATTTTTTATCCGAGTCGCCTTTATGATCAAGTCAGTTTCCCCTCAATTATTGCATCGAAATTTGCAGTTAAGGGTAAAGAGATTTGATTGATTGTGGTTGTGACAAAATTTCACATGTTACTATCCTACTTATAAAATATGAAAATCCCACCGTCGCATGAGAAGTCTAAAACGCGCCCTTTTCCCGATTTTTTATCTGAACTCACACTCTCACCGATGCATTCGGNAAATCCCACCGTCGCATGAGAAGTCTAAAACGCGCCCTTTTCCCGATTTTATATCTGAACTCACACTCTCACCGATGCATTCGGTGGGGAACTAATTTTGGTGGCATTATTCATATGTATATATGTACATACGTATGTTTGTATTAAAGGTTTTTATTTTTTATTTTTTTACTAATGGGTTAAATGGGTTCAGTCCACTTATTTAGAACATCAAAAGCAATGATTGCAACGGACTGCCAAGGCTACATTTTTTGTGGTATCTGCCAGATTGCTTAACCATACAAATACATATATTATTAATAGTGTTTTAAGCGTTTAGGGTTTTGTTTTGCAAAATATTGCAATTCGAAGTTAACAACAAATTACAAAATATTTATCGAATAATAGTGTATGTCACAACAAAAGATTCAATTAATTGTTTGCAGATGAAATTAGTTCTAAAAACAATTTATGTACGCTTCTACGCGTAAATAATTTGCAAGTATATGTGGTACCTTAGCAACTGTAAATACAAATTCTGAGGATTTTTGAAATATGCGATTCTTGGTGCCTACTTCTGGCAAGGTTAGCTTCTTACTAAATATATATTTTTCTTTGATAATTAAAAAATATTTATATTGCTTCAACTATCAAATATCACGCAAATAATATGCATATAAAATTTTCAATTTTAATTTTAACGTGTATATATTAGTACTAATTAAAACGCACGAATTCTTACATTCGAGAGCCTTTCTGCTGTAGCACCTTAGCGCGATCGTTTAATTCCAGTTCACGGCCCGACGATGAACCGCATTCTTTTGATACTACGCATAAGAATTCGTTATTTTCGAATGGTCCATAATTTGTATACTGCATGCCAACGCTAATTAATTGTTCAAAACGCCAACCATCTGATAAAGTTGAGATCATCTGTGTTTGTGCAAATATATAATTCCATTAGTTAAAACTTTAATTAGTAATGCATAAATGACGATATTACTTGTGTTAATTCCTGTTCTCGACACTGCAACACACGATATACACGTTTTTTATCAGCATGTGGTCGCTAACATAATGAAAGAAAAACAATTATATTTCTGTCGTGTAGTGTTATATGAATATGTAAAGCCCACCTGATCTCTATGATTTATACATTCCTTCAGTAGTGTTATCAGCTGTGTCACATTGTAGAATTCAGCTTCTTCTAGAACTCCTTCCTCGGAAACGCCATCTAAAACCAATTTCCCATGCCGCAAATAGTTCAGCACTGGCGCAAAATATTTTGGGTCTCTATCAATCAGGTAGGCGCCTGTTTCGTCCTACAATTGCATGGTTTGTATAAATAGTTAATTTATGTACTGTGAAAACTTTTGCAATTCGCGTGCATAATTATATTGAACGAATACCAAAAAAGATAAAATATTTGAGCTGATTTGGTTTGACTTTGAACTACTTAAATTTTAAATTGGGGCGCTTTATTGTTTATGTATGTAGCTGTCTACCTTGGCACCCTCAATCATGTCTACCTCAGAACAATAACCTACATACTAGGTGCATACACACATTTGTATTTATGCAGAAAAATATTTGTGTGCAACTTAATGATTATGCACACAAAAACAAGTTAGTGTAAACTGGTGAACTATCATGATTTGCTAAAGACTGCAGCCGCAATTGTTGGCATAACTATTTCAATATATTTTCTTACCCGATCAGATATTAAATCACAATCCTCTTGTATAAGACGTGACAGAAACGAATTTGGGTCACGGGAGAGCGTGGTCTTTGTTGTTAGGAAGTATGTGCCACCCACATTAAGCTTCACCCACTGGTCTGTGCCCTGCTTTTTCAGCATTGGACTTTTTCGTGAATTTATATTTATTGTTGTCATAACTATATCACTCTGAGCGGTCCGCAACAGAATTATAGTGTTATGCTTTATTCACCTCACTTTCAACGATACTTTAATGAAAAGAATATCTGTAAAGAAATGAGACCACAATTAGTAAATATAGAAGGCTCCGAGCAAAAAATTTCAAGGATTCCACGTGTATGTTTGTGCACCTGGAGTTCGCAGTAAACAGTGTGTACGTACCTTGGAGGATTGGTTCGTTTCTGCACAATTGGTTGCAATGTAAATGCAAAAAATTCTGCTGCAGCAAAGGCAATAAGTAAATGTTAACGTTCAGCAAGAATGGAATGTTTTCTATTTCTCTACAAAGAACCTTATTACCCGAACAAAGATGCAATTGACGGGCGTTCTTAACTGCAATTTTATTACTCTGTTAATTGATTCAAAAACAATTATCATCCAAACCCACTTAAGAATGGTTTGTTTTATGTCTGACAGAGTATATATTCACAAAAGTTTTCAGAATCAATTCCGCCACCGATTATTTTATCTCCCTTTTTATTTGTTAAAAACACAGATTAAATTCTTTTCACTACTCGCTCTTTTTTTTTATTTGCTAAATTCTTTTCACTCACTTCTATTTCTTCTAATTAGGAATGAAACGATACGAGTAAATACAAGTATATATTCGATACTTTTCGGTTGATACCGAAATTTCGATGATTTTGGTATTGATACTTTTGAACCAAGTACAGAGTAGGTATCGAAAAACAAATACTTGTATCGAAACCCGATACTAAGGCAAATTTGGCTTCGCCAATTTTTCTTACATTCTTAAGCGCATTGTTTTTCATGTCTGCTTAATTTCCAGCAAAATCCGCGAGAAGGCGACAAAGTCGATATATGTAATGCAAAGAATATACGCTCCAATTGCTTCACCAAAGTCGATATAATGCGGCCCAACTGTTCGTGTGGAAGAGTAAACTGGACGAATGTTTAGTACAGACGTTTCAACACGATATTAAACTCAATGCGTAGCTCTATTCGACCCCGTTCACGTAACAGACGCTTAACGTGTTCACTGAACAGGGTCTTATTCTTCGCGCTGAAAAGACTAGCGGAAAATACTAAAGGCAAGAAGTCTAGCTCTGTCACTTTAAGAAAAGAAAACCACAGTTGTTTAAAAAAAAAAAAACTCTTACGCATGGATCACACGATCTGTAAATTGGTACAAATTTGTGATATTATAGAGTGTGGTTATTTGAAAGTTTTTTCGTTGAGCTAAATTCATTCTCCATCAAATCAGATAATCGTCAACTGATGACTTAGGTATCGATACCATAGATTCGATATTTTTTAGGAATCGATACTTTCTTTCGATATTACTTCCAAGTCATGGTATCGTTTCATCCCTGCTTCTAATCTTTTTGTTACGCAGAAAATGCAACCTTGCAGTCGGTTGTTCGCCCATACTCTGGCATCACCATTTTCGCTGTTTCTTGTGCACAGTCTTCGTTGGTTTAGCTGTTTAACTCACCCTGTACTTCCGGTAGTGCATTTCAATGACTTCCGGTAGTGAATATCAGTGATTTCGTTTTTGGCATTCATCCGTCGTCTGAGTTCATTAAGTCATTCGGATAGACGCCATATATTTTTCTCGCTCTAACGTATCGCAGGGTTGCAAAAGAAAACCCGATATATTTCAGTTTACCCCAAATCAAAATATACTGTTATCGATTGTTTAGAAGGTTTTCGTTTTTACTCCGTTTTTACTCTGCGAAATTGATCTTAATTCAAAGTAATCTTAAAAAAATTACATATGTGTATTTTTACATGTTTTTTAAGATTTCGTCCTTTGCTGGAAATGTGTATTGTGTATATTCCTATTAGAGTTTCTATCGATCACTTCTTATCAACTTGAGATTTTCGCCAATTCAGTATATCTGTAAATATATTTTATTAATGAATTAAAACGAATTTCTTTACTGTTAACATTACATTTTAGAGTTAAAAAGTACGAAATGACTTTATTAGTTCGTTCCTTGACGACACAATCTGGCTACATTTCCTATTCTACACCCGCCGAATTTCACTTATCAATTATTAATCGAACGGTAAGCACGTAGAGGGTAAAGGTTTTTGTTTTTTACACACATATAATTAAAAAATTTAATGGATCTTTGCTAAATCGAGATCAACTAAATCGAATATATTTCAGTATTTCTACAGTGCTCAGCGAAAGAAAATCAATAAAAATGGTCAGCCAAGAGGTAAATTTTCACTTGCAAACAGGGTGCGGCCACCAATCCAAGCGATTATTTGACCTTTGTCTTTTATTTTACAGGATTTTGATAAAGCCGCCGAGAATGTTAAGAACTTAACTTCTACTCCATCCGATAATGATTTATTGGAATTATACAGTTTGTACAAACAGGCGACCGTAGGAGATATCAACACCGGTGAGACAGCAATAAATATCTAATTACATACGTATTTCACTTATCAAGACAAGTTTATGACTTTAATTCGATTGTGATTAGGCTACATATGAATCCATTAAGCAATCATATAACTGTTGATTTGAAACATTATTATATGTATGTGGGAATTATTATTTAGTAGCTCTAAATTATTTGAAGTTCACGGGGTTTTGGTAACTCCAGTGTGCAACCTTCAGAATGAATTACCTATTACAATTGGAATACATATAAATTGACGAATAACTAATAATTATTAAATTGGAGGAATAACCTTACATTGTATAGACCGCCGTGTCCCGGCAATGGATCTTGGGTCTAAAAAAAGTTCTGAATTAGAACTAAATATGACGTGGCTCGAGTTGTTTTTAGCACTATGAAATATCACCTATGAACTATTAGGTAAACTATTTTTAATTTGCATTCATACCTTCTATTGCAGATAAACCCGGCTTCTTGGACTTCAAAGGCAAAGCAAAATGGGAAGCCTGGAACAATCGTAAAGGTACATCGAAGGATGACGCTATGAACTCTTATGTGGAGAAAGTCAACGCTTTGGTTCAGACCCATGGATTGAAAGCTTAAAAATTATAATTATACATCTGAAATTATGGAACAAAAGAAATGCTATTGAATAGCAGTTTAATCATTTATCACTTAGATATTCCATTTTCTATAATTGGTATTGAATTTTGAAAATAATTACACTAATAAGAAAACCACCGTCTGTTTCCGAACGCACGTTTTAATGCACAATTTTCTATCTTTTATTATCATAAAAGTAGTCAGCTTTATAAACTTTTTGTATTTTTTGAGTGTTATTAAAATATAGACATAACTTAAAACACACTTGTGTAAAATTACTCACAATATATTTCTAAACAGGAAGGGGAATGTATGAATTTCGCCATGTCAAGGGGGATGGATTGTTGGTTTCGAAATTATTGTCATAATAAAATATATTCATATTAGGTCTGCGGGTTATATGTCGTTTTGTTGACTATCTGGATATTCGAATATCGGCATAATCGAATCTAAAAATTAGAAAAAAATAACAGTTGTATTAATGAAATGCTCATTATTTATTATACAACTCGATTCAGTAATTTTAATAACAATTTTACGTATCTGTTCAAATACAGTTTAGAAAATCCGGATATCCGGATTTTCTCCATATGTACGAATATCCAAACGGATGTGCGGACAGACCCAGCCCTAGTTCATATTTTATATGTACTATGTAAATACATAAATACATTTCCGAACTGAGAAGTACTGCAAATGAATCTGAGCATTATATCATGCTTTAATGCAAATAATACTTAAGAATGCGACATCGGTACATTGCTAAAAAATACTCCTTATATCCGACATTACGTAGCATTAAATGCCTATTGAAATTTCGGCCCATGCCGTCGTGCCTTGTTCCTTATATTACAAAAAAAAAGCTAAATGTAAAGTAAATCATCATTAGTTATTTCCAATTAAGTCAGATGTTTGTTCCTTTCGCTCTCCGCGTTAACTTCTTTTGATGACCTTTGCCTTTCGTAGAATTCACGCTGCAATTCGCGTAAGTTAAGTTCCAGCGTTTCCACTACATCAAAATTCATTTCTTGACGCGCTTGCTTTATATATGCTTTTATAATATTTATTTGTTCAATGAGTGGATCTTCGCTTTGCGATATATTTACTGGCTGTGCCGACCAGTTATCCAGCGAACGCAAATCGGACTGTAAAATATAAAGTTGTTAATATTATACTAAAAACACGTCATAAATTTAAATATGTATACCCCATATGCGTAATCGCCGTCATTGTTAGCTTTGTTTTGGAAGTCATTGGTGTTGTTTGCTAAAGCCTGTCGTTCATATGCTTCCATTGCTAGACGACGTTCAGTTTCGATACGTTGTTCAGCTTCCATACGCTTACGATCTTGTATTTTGCGTATTTCTTCCTCTGCAGGCAATGGTGGTATCGAAAGCATTTTATCTTTGATTAGTTGAATGCAAGATAAACGTATTGACTTTTTTAAAGCTTCTTCACGACTACCCTGCTGACAAGGTAAAGCCAATATGCGTTTACTACGCAAATCAATAGCTTCAGCCACTTGACCAATTTTGACTCGCAATGCACTTGCATCTGCTATAGTGAAAATGGACTCCCCTTCGTAAAGGCTGCTAACAATTTTCAAATACATTTCGATGTCCGGCAGCACGTCTTTCCGCAACTGTTGTATATCAGTATAAACTTGAGAAACAAGTGGATGGTATGTTCGACTTTCATGCATTTCTTGCCGGGTTTCTAAAAGCCAGAGACAATGATCGCAACAGCGTATAGCAGTTTGCTGAGGATTTGAGGAATTTGAGTTAACGGAATTTTGCAGCTGTTTTGCGGCATCACTTTGTGACATAGCCAAACTAGCGAGTTGCACTGTAATTTCCGAATAAATTCTACATGTATTAGATGTATAAGGGCCGTTTTTACAGCGACGAGTTAACTCCCATTCAGCAGTGAACTACAGGTGTTGAGTACAAAAATTGAAAGTTAACTGCCGAATTTGAGTAAGCTCACTACACGGGTAAACGGATAAAAGATATAAAGGAACTAGGTACTTACGCGCATTTTCTATTGATAGGAACTTTGAACAGTCATTGCACATAATACTTCCGCAGAGGCGACAGTGATGTTGTCGCCGAGCGATATGGAAATTTTTAGCACAACTGGGGCATAACTTTACAGAACTACCATCTAACCAAGTGACAATCTGCGAATATAAAAGTATGAGTGCATATATTCTTACTCACATTGACTATTCCCAACCCAACGTCTTACATTGCGTTCATGTTGCTTGCGCAGGACCGGATCAGTTGGCAAATTTGTTAATAATTTATGCAAACGTATAATCAATTTGTTTGTTTCACTAGCGTAACGTTCCAGTCGAGGGTTCCTTACCGATTGATAATACTCCAAATGATTGCATTCTGCCCCAACCTCCTGGTGATCCATAAAATTATAAACATTGGTGCGCGTCCTTGCATTACTGAAATTTATTTTGTTATTCGCAGCGGAGGTTGCACCTGCTGCATTGCTCCCTGAACCACCCCCGCCGGTAGCGCCGCTAATCGTTGCATTTCTTTCTAAATTTCGTGAGAGGTCAAAAGCCTCGTCAATATTCCGTATTTTATTTTTAGCTTTCGAAATTATATCCTTGAAAACAGATTTAAGTGCGTCTTGTTGCTCTGCATGTGCCCTTTCGAAGTGCACTGTTAAGAATTCAGCAGACTTTAGGTCTTCCCGACAAATTGGGCAAAGGAATCCTTCCAATATTTCATCGGATTCGTAATCATCTGGTTCACCGAATGGATTCGACATGTTGCTCAATTCTTATGTACTACCCTGTACAGAATTCTAGAAAATTCAATTACTATCTTGTCAATTTACAAATTTTAATTCCTTTCGCAAATAAATAATTAATAAATAAAAGAGATGTGTGGGCGTTTTTTGCAACTTCACCAAGCACTCAGCTGATTTGTTTATTAATCGAAATGTTATTGATGTACAAATGCACAATATCCGAGTACTCGCCCAAAATAGGGTGTTCATGGCACGATAATCGATTTTTCGAATCGATATTCCAAGATCGATATATCGAAGACATCGATACTTTACCCGCAATATCGATATTTAAGTTTAAATTTATTTTTCATCTACAAAATAGTGTATGGGAATATACTGAAGTAGGTTTAATTAGCAGTTTGTGTTATTTATTTAGCCCTTAATACCATGTTCTGACCGACAACGAAAACACTTTGAAAACGTGTTCTGGGATTGTGGGCTGAAGGCTGTTCACACCGGCTGTTAGTGTTTTCGTTGATATTTCTTATATCCTCTGATTACAGTTCTGCTACACAAAAACAAAACCAAAATGATTTTCCCTCATTTTCTTTTCATTTGCAACCTCTTACTTTCATTCTTATTTTACTCTTGCCAGCCAATTAACAATAAATTCGAAATGGCGTATTAAAAATGATAAAATTTGACTTCCACCTTGATAAATAATCGAAAAAAACTAGTGAAGACACCGATTGGAATGAGTGGAACGTGAGTTTTCAAGTAGTTTTCATCGAAAACTGGTTTTCGTTTGACAGGTTTTACATGGACGAAAACACAAGTTTTAAGTCGAAAGCCAGTTTTAGCAACGAAAACATGTTTTCGATGTCGGTCAGAACATGGTATAAACAAGGAGAAATATTACAACAAACACATCATTTTGACATTAAGAAGTACCGCGGCCAAAATCTAAATTCGCCAGTAACACCACCTTGTATAAATTCGCCTTGGTCATGGGATTCGCGCTTGTGGGCAAGAAGTGTAGGGAAGTCAGCGGGGTACATGCACGCACGGTTGGGGGGTTTTTGACATTTCGCTTTCATCCAAGTGCTCTTCGCTTCGCTTTTAAAATGTGGACGAAAGAATTGGTTGAGCTACTTTAGGAGTACGAAAAACATTGTGGAACATTTGTACACAATGACGAAAAATTGATGCGTCTTGGGTTGAGCTTCTTTTAATAAAATATCAAGATCACGAAAATTTGTACAATGTACGTCATCCACATTATTTAGATCGACTAAAAAGATCTAAATCGTTATTTGAAATACATAATGAAATAAAAGAAAAAAATGCCAACATTACTGTGGAGGATATAAAAAAGAAAGTTCATACATTAAGAAGCCAACACATTAACGAATTGAGTGAAGTGGTCATGAGTAAAAGGAGTGGTGTGGGAATAGAAGATGTATATATACCGAAACTTTGGTGTTTCGATCAATTAGAATTTTTGAAGGCACACTGAGCGACAAGAAAATCAACATCAAACCTTTCTAGCGTAAATTATGTATTTATTTGAATGCAATTATTTTAATACGCATAGGAATACATATTTATAGGTTGAAGATTGCGATGAAAATTCTTCGGTGACGATGAGTAATGAAAACTCTATGGTGACGCATTTAAATCTTTATGTTTATCTTTATTTCATCGCCTGGGTAAAAGATTGTCGTAAGCGCCATTTTGACGATTTTTAGTTCCAGATGCAGTTATATATTTTGAAATAAGGTATTTCGATTGGTGTTATCGGTTTTTAGATATCTCCTTTAGTTTCCGAGATATTGGCGCGTATTCATAGTCCAGCAACTAAGTCGAAACTAACAAAGTTGCAACTTAAATTTAAGTACCAACTTAAAATTTACCTCTATTCATAGTCGCATTTCAGACTTCTACTAAGTAGTTTCGACTTAGTTTACGATATAGCAAAACTAGTGTGAAAATGTATCGATTTTTCTTTACGATATTTTGGAAAAATTACATTTTTATTAAATAATATCAAGTTTGATCATCCGTTTATGTAATTTTTATTTTCATTGCATGATTATGCAAAAGAATAAGGTATCATTTTCTTGTTAATTGTGTGAAATAGCCAGAACAACCGCAGTGATGTGAGGTCGATGTTTATCGAAAGCATGCTGTGGAACATACAAATAGTAGATATCTAAATGTTATGTACAAATTTACTTTAAAAGAACTAGCGTGAAACTGACTTATTATTTGAAAATTTATCTAAATTATTCCAATTATAAAATTGTGATGTAGCTTTATTCGAATTGTAATACGCATTTAATTTCATCTTCCGATTAAAATGGATCGATCTTTGTAAATTTTAATTGGAGTTTATTCAATATTATCAAAATCATCCTCTACCAACTTAATTTTTTCATATTTCGTCTGCGTTCCCTTAATTTGATAAAATACTTCATCCTAGTTACGACTTAGTTGCAGCTGCAGCCGAAACT